TCTCTCTCTCTCTCTCTCTCTCTCTCTCTCTCTCTCTCTCTCTCTCTACACACACACACACACACACACACACACACACACACACACACACACAGAGTGTGTGCAAAATCCCAGCTGCCAGCTCTTTTCCACCTGGGGTTGGCTTCCATGTGCATTGAGTTTTTCTCAAGAACCCAGGAGAGTGATGGCGAAGCGCAGAGCCCAATCAGACGGAGGCTAGAGAGCCATTTGCCAAGGAGGTTTTGTTTGCATTCCTGCCTTGGGCAGCTGGTGCAGCTTGTCCTCTGTGGCTCCAGCTGCTGCCGCCTCCTCCCTTGCTTGAGCTTTATGGAGCTGGAGAGAAGGCCACAAGGTCTTTGCGGGGCCACCTCTGATCAGCCTTGAATTTGGGAACAAGAGACACACCTGACGACACAGAAATGTTGATTTTGTCAATTAAAAAGTCAGGGAGAATAACTTGATGGGGGCCGCTTGCTGATCCAAAGCTCTCTGGCTCTTCTCAGGTGATGCTTCTGGGGCTGACAAATCTAAGAAAGGGCTGAAACGGAAGAAAATCACGGAAGAGACGGGCGAAACAGCAAAGAGGAGATCGGCTCGAGTCAGGAATACCAAGTGCAAAAAAGAAGAAAAAGTCGATTTCCAGGAGCTGCTAGTAAAATTCCTTCCTTCTCGGTGCGCGTCCCCACTCCTAAACGTGTGCGGGTTCTAGGAAAAAGCCGGAGGGGGTGGAAGGGCGCTTCAGGTTGAGAGGCATAGCCATGCAAGAGTGGATCTGATCACCTGGCTCCCTTTGCCCTGCACTCAGGTCTCCGGTCTGCTTCTTCAGTGCTTTTCTGGTGTGTTTTCAGCCTGAGGAAGCTGGATCCAGAAGAAGAAGGTCCGTTCAACCACTATGAGATGCAAAGCACAGCCAAGGAAGAGAACTCCCAGCCCCTGGGCTCCCATAGGATGTCCCTTGACCTGACAGTCTGCATGGAATCTGGTAGGAATTTATTTTTCCTGCAGATGGGACCCCCGTAAAGATTTACCTCCAGTTTTATTATGCTGTTTAGTTTTCTCAAACATTCACTTAATCTGCTGATTCGTTCATTTCCTGAAAATCAGCTTGAGATGGACTCACACCCACAATGGCAATTTTTCTTCCAGAGAAGCAGGATGTTCATAAGTTCCTCTTGGCTAATTTGAGCAACGGAGGCATCCTTGAACTGATGATGAGATACCTGAAAGTCATCAGTCAGAAGTTCCTGGTCAAGTGGCCACCAGGACTGCCTGAGGTTGTCCTGAATATCTACAACAACTGGAGAAAGCACAGCAGCAGCCTACCCAACCCACTATTAAGGGACTGTCACAATCAACACATCAGGGTAAGGATCGACTTCGAATGGCCTCCCCGCTGCTCTTTTGAGTACAGGTAGTCCTCGAGTTACGAATGGAATGGAGCCTGCCAATTACATCTGCAACCCAAGGACTTGTAGGAGTGAATGCAGGAGCATAACTTGACCATGACCAGTCCCTGCTTTTGCCCAAGATTGTGTGGGTCATGAAGTATGAGATCTCGTGCTACTGATCTCTTGTGATCTCACCCTACAGTACTTTAGGCCTCTATTCTCTGTGAACCAAGAGAGATCTCTCAGGGTGGGGAAAGCCATTGGGGGGGATATCGCTGGAACAAGCCACCTGCCTCAGACCACCCAAGGCCTCCCCCAACCCACCAAAACACCTCATGCTCCCTCCACTGGGCCCCCCACAATTGCTCCCCCCCCCATCCTGCCACGCTGACTCACTTACCTTATGAAGATCTGTCTCCAGTCCCTCCCGCGGTTTCTTTGCCTGCTTGCAGTTGCAGTGTGAAGAGTGCTTGCAAGAGGCCGGGACTTTGGGGCAGCAAAATCGCATTGCTTGAAGCCTCCCATTGGTTTGCAAGCACTCTTCACGCCAAGACTGGAATGGTGGGAAAGGCATTTGCAAGTTGATGGGAGGCTTCAAGCAATGCGATGTTGCTGCCCCAAAGTCTCAGCGTCTTGCAAGAGCTCTTGGGCCAGATCTGGTACAGTACTTTATGCCTTTATTCTCTGCGAACCGAGACCCGCACCAGATCTGGCCCAAGAGCTCTTGCAAGACGCTGAGACTTTGGGGCAGCAACATCGCGTTGCTTGAAGCCTCCCATCAACTTGCAAATGCCTTTCCCACCATTCCAGTCTTGGCGTGAAGAGTGCTTGCAAACCAATGGGAGGCTTCAAGCAATGCGATTTTGCTGCCCCAAAGTTCCGGCCTCTTGCAAACGCTCTTCACGCTGCAACTGCAAGCAGGCAAAGAAACCACGGGAGGGACTGGAGACAGATCTTCATAAGGTAAGTGAGTCAGCGTGGCAGGATGGGGGGTGGGGGGAAGCAATTGTGGGGGGCCCAGTGGAGGGAGCATGAGGTGTTTTGGTGGGTTGGGGGAGGCCTTGGGTGGTCTGAGGCAGGTGGCCTGTTCCAGCGATACCCCCCCCCCCCAATGGCTTTATCCACCCTGAGAGATCTCTCTCGGTTCGCAGAGAATAAAGGCATAAAGTACTGTAGGGTTAGATCACAAGAGATTAGTAGCACGAGATCTCACACTGCTGATCTTGCATAATCTCGCACTACAGTATTTAGCTTCCGTTCGCTATGAACCGAGGCCTGCACAAGACTCACGGCAAAAGGCTTTGCAAATGGAGAGGCAGCAACATTTGTAATTTGGGACTGGGTAGTTAGTACTTGGCGGGGGGGGGGGGGGTAGGTCGTAACTTGGAATGGTCCTTAAGTGAACTGTTGTAACTTGGGGATTACTGTATTTCTTCCTGCAAAGGATAACCAAGGGTTTAGAAGGCTCTGCAGTGGCCTCCCTTTGGCCTGTCGGAGACCCCATAGTAAAGGAGAAGGAACGGCTGCTCAGCAGGCACTGTGTAGCAAGTGCAGCCCAGCCTCTGCTTCACTTAAACGAGGCACACAACTGATCTACACAGTGTTGTGTGTGTGCAGAAGAAGTGGGAGAGATTAGAAAAGTTATGAGGTTCCACAGCCAAGAAAGCTCTGTCTCTTCAGGCTTTCAGTCCCCAGAACGAACCTGGACTCTGAGTTCCAACCATTCCCTTTGAGGAGGACAGTAGCATTTGATTGGAGAAGCCGGTCACAGTCATAGAATCGAACCCAAGTCCAGAATGTTTTGTTCTAAACACAGTTCCATTGGAGGGTGTGGTCTCTGCCAGGGAGAACATGGGAATTGGTCTCACCAGCTCAAGAGAATCACACACCTTGGTTAACAAATCTAGTTTCAGTAGCCTCTGCAGACGGCCAAACAGTCTAAACTCCTGAACTGAAAAATTGGCTCGGAAGCCCCTTCTGGATGCTGTGTTCCTTTTCCGAGCCCCTTCTACCTTCTAAGCGACTTTCTGTTCTGGAAAGGCCAGGTCTTGGCAGCTATTGCAGGCAGCAGGATTAGTCCTGCTGATTAGAAGAGCTGGTTTTAACGACGGGATGCCTATAGAGAAAGAAATAGGCAAAAATCCACCCTGGCCACCCAGATTGTCCAGCGTCCCCCTTCTTTCTGTCATACCTTTGCCTGCGTTTCAGGAGATGATGCTGATGAGTCTCTCCTGCATGGAATTGCAGCTGGATCAGTGGTTGCTGGCCAAAGGGAAGAGCTCCATGGGTGAGTGAGGGAGCACTGGAAGTCCCGCTGATGCTTTGAGAGGGGGCTGGGTCTCCAGGGAGCTCGGCAACACTTGGCACGCTTCTCCCGAATGAGTCCCCAGGCTCACAAGAGTGGAAGCAGAGAAGGGGACTGCTGCCACGGGCCACATAGACCAGTGGGAGGAGCTCCCCGGGAGTCTCTGCCTGCAGAAGGGGGCCTTCCTTTGCATCCCCCGCTTCAGGTTCCTGTGTCAAGGGGCTCAACAGGGGAAATGCTTCTTCCAGTATCTCCCAGGAATGGTCCTTCTGCCAGCTCGGCCAATGGCAAATTTGGCCCAGACTTTCCGGGCACCCACTTCTTGGGCGATCTGCTGCAGCTCTCGTTCGCTTCTTCCCAGCGGGACCTCTTTGAGGCGAGTTGGCTGCAGTTTGCTGTCCGAGTGTATTGGCTGAAAGCTCGGTTTCTGGCTCTACAGGTTTGTATTTTTGCTGCAGCCAATTATATTCCTTGCAAGACAAGTTTAGAAAGGGGGAACTACCCAGCGTTTCCACCTGATCAGAGCAAATGTGTATCATGGGAACATCCCTTAAGATGGAAGCAGGAAGCGGCTCTTGAGTTATGTGCTTTATGAACATCCCACTTGGCCTGAGGGGTTGATGACGGTACTGGAGGAAGGGGGAGCTGAAAGCTACGTTGCTCCTGCAGGGGGAAATGGAGCAGGCCCTGGAAAACTACGACGTCTGCACGGAGATGCTTCAGCATTCTGCTGCCCTTGAGGCCATCCCTGACAACGACAAGAGAGTGGTGATCAGGCTGCCCAACCTCCATGTTGACTCTGTGGTTTCTTTGGAAGAGGTAACGTCACCTGGTTGCCTTTTTGAGTCACCTTGTTGGCTCCAAGCCATGCTTAGCATCTCCCTTTTGTAGCTGGTTCCACACCAGGGTTTTCTGAGGTATTGAGGCTTATCTTACCCTAAGGGTCTCACCTGAAACCTCCACTCATGCGCCTGAGTCGGCCTTTTGCGGCTTGGTGGGTCCTGGCCTTATCTGATATTAGAAGCATCATCTCTATGTTGGAGGAGGTGCTTGATTCAGATACTCCATTTATGCTTCTGGTTTTAAGAAATGATGACAGTAGCGATGACAAAAATGAAATGAAACGCTGCTCTTAGAATGCCTTTCCACCTCAGTGGTCTTCCATCTTTCCACTGTGTATTCCCATCGAACGTAAGGAAAAGAGGCGTTCTCCGTATGCCCTGGCTGGCTTTCCATAGTAGAACAAACACAGCTAAAAGTTTGATTGGGAGGCAGCCTGCTGTGGGACGCCAGCCACCGTCTTACGGTATAATGACCAGATGGTTGGTTTGGTCATTGTGGCGAGGGTTTTTTTTTGTAACCCCAGGTAGACATTGGACTGGAGTGTGACCCGTCCAGTGTTTCATTCTTGCAGATTGATAAGAATCTGAAGTCCCTGGAGAGATGCCAGTCTTTGGAAGAGCTTCAGCGCTTATATGAGGCTGGGGACTACAGGGCCGTGGTTCAGCTGCTGCGCCCAACGTTGTGCCTCAATGGGGACAGCAGGACAGAGCATCTGGAGTTGGCTATCTCCATTCCAGAGAGGCCAGCCCAACTTCTCTTGCTACAGGTGAGGGTGTTCCCTTTCAAGTGAATTGATGTAAATTAGCATAAAATGAATGCAACATTATGAGATAGGAGGAAGAATTGCTGAAGAAGGATGAAGTGGCCTCATAGCATTAATGCTATTTCACTCCTTTTGTAGAGTGTAGTGAATTTAACGTCTGCCAGGATATCAGATTATAATTGGCAGAGAAGATACAGCTGGAGAGTAACATTTGAGTAATCCACCTGGCAAATGCCCATAATTTAAAATTGTATACTGATGGTACAGTACATGTATTTTTTTTTTTACTAAAAGATTTTAGAAAGTCCAGGATCGTGTGCCAGACTATATGAATTGGTGTGCTGTAGGTTCTTGTGGGTGCACGTGAAAATAAGAAGGCGTAGGTTGGTGATAGTTGCATATTATGTTTAATGAGAGGTAATGGCAAATTGGAGGTGAATTTGGGGGGAAATTATGCAACATTCTGAATGAATTGTCTGGCGGGAATTTCTCTTTTACATGACATGAATGGCTGGCTGGCACTGAGACAAGAAAGCTTTTGGCCAACTTGGAAACGGAGAATGGCTGAAATGGGTGACTGCTTGGAAGGAGATTCCAGTCTGTCTGTCTGTCTGTCTGTCTGCCCCTGCTGATAGAAAAGAAATAAATGTCCATTGTGAACAGGATGATGGTGAAGGTGGGAGGAGGCATGCCTCAGTATTCAGACATTGTGTGGGTGGCGTTGGTGTTGTCTGTTGCAAGGAACAAGCATTAGGCTGCCCACTTGGTTATGTGGAAGAGAAAGTGGAGACGTCTGGGCAGTGGGGTACTTAAGGAGCAGGATTGAGGTGTGCTGTATTTCATTTTCTACCTTTTTCCCTGACTTAATGTTTCTGGTTCCTGAGTGTGTGTGTGTGTGTGTTTTGCATAACACTGCAGACCCCCCAAAAGGAACAGTGTGATAGGGATGAATAATGTACAACCTGCAGGAAGCAACGCAGATGCCTGTAGGATCCAGGGTTTATGGTCTTTCTTTCTTTTATTATTTTTATTATTATAAATAGAGCAACATATTCAATATCCATATAGACAGTGTGTTGTCTGATTACAATTGCTTTGAACAATACTCAGTGTCAGTCTGCGCTCCATTCAAAATCCAAGAAAGAAATACTTAGACTCCATAGATTAGAGGAAAGAAATCTTTTACTGAAGATTGAAGTGGTAGCTTCAGGTAGAATTCTGAATCTGAGAAATTAGGCGCTCAGATCACATATACAAAGGGATGGAATTGTTCCCACCCCCCAAAGTTCAAAAGATTCTACCAATTAAAAGTTCTGGATATGGTCATGTGGGCATCTTCAGGTGGTGATGAAGCCTCTGTCCGTTGACCTTGGCATATTTTGATAAAGATTTGCAGCTGCGCAGAGAAAAGAAAACCAAGCGAGAAATAGAAACTTAAAGCAGGAATTTATACTCCCCCCCCCCCCACTCCTCATTTACACAACACAAGAATGTAACACCTCCAGCTCTCTTCCCAGACAATATCCCTCCTCCTCCCTCTGTTACTTTATGGCAGCCAAAAGATGCAAAGCAGTAACAGAAGATCTTGAAGGCTGACACTCAGCATCATAATAGTGATAATATTCTCTAGCAATAACCTTAGAGTACCAGTGCTTTTCCTTCATAATATTAATACATTAGAATTAATAATACCTTACCGTAACCATCCATCATGATAAAATTAATCTTTCTCTTGTAATTTTAAAAGTTCTAACTTCTGTTTCTCTTATTTAACCATCGATGGAACAAATGCCGTATGTTTATGGTCTTTCTTGGCCTTTGCTCTCCTGGTGGGAAGGAGGCAGCTTTTCTGTCTGATGCAACTCTCCCTTCTCTTCCCTGTGGGGTTTTTTATCTTCTACCCGCTTCCTGATATTCCCTAGGATTCCCTCCTTCGGCTGAAGGACTATCGGCAGTGCTTGGAATGCTCTGAAGTGGCCTTGAATGAAGCCTTCCAGCAGATGATCAATACAACAGCCGCCTCGGCCAAGGAGGAGTGGGTGGCCACTGTCACCCAGCTGCTCCAGGGCATCAATCACTCCCTCTCGGCAGACAGCAGCAGCAGCAGCAGCCTGAGCGAAGTTTCTGCCCTGCCGAATCTCATCCGGTTGAGTCACAACCTCATCCAGGTAAGGGGAGGGGGCTCCCTTTGACCCCCGCAGCTGCTGCAGCGGCTTTCACCCCAAGAGCTCCTTTCAGCCAGCCAAAAGAGGGAAAAGAAAAAAACATCCTTGTTTGGGTTCACAGGACCACAAGTCTTACAGAGATATAAGACATGTATTGTGATAAAATTTTGTGACATTTCATATTGGACCTCCAGATACCGATGGCAGGGAAAACCACAGCAAAAAGAGGCACGTTTCTGGGTAAAGGGGCAAGTCTTCCACCAAAGCCCTGCAAAATGTTCTTCAGAGCATGACTTGGTTGGCTGGTAGCCCAGCAATCGTCTTCTTACAAGTAGTCTTCACTTAATAACCACCATTGGTCCGGCAATCTGTCGCAGTTCTTGAGCAGTACATGTCATCGCACTGGACTAACGATGTCGGTTCTGCTGTAGCTGTTAAATGAATACACACACACACACCCGGCGATAGTTAAGGAGACATTGTTTCTCCATTGACTTGGTCAGCTGTGAAACTCACAAATGTCGACTACATGGCCATGGCCTACTGCAATGCTTGTGACTATGCGCTAGGTGTGACTAACAAGAGTTGGAAGGGACCTTGGAGGTCTGGTCCCACTCCTGCTCAGGCAAGAAACCCTAGACCATTTCAGAGAAATGGCTGTCCAGTCTCTTCTTAAGAGCTAGAGCATCCACAATTATCTGGAGTCGTTCCACTGATTGATTGTTCTCACTGTTAGGAAATTTCTTTTTTAGTTCTAGGTTGGTTCACTCCTTGATTGGTTTCCATCCATTGCTTCTTCTCCTGGTGCTTTGGAGAATAGGTTGACCACCGCTCCTTTGTGGCAGCCCCTGAAATATTGGAACACTGCTATTTTGTCACCCCTAGTCTTTCTCTTCACTGGACTAGACATAACCAATTCTTGTAACCGTTCTTCATATGTTTTTAGCCTACAACCCCCTAATCATCCTGGTTGCCCTTCTCTGCACTCTTTCCAGAGTCTCAACATCTTTTTTATATCGTTGTGACCAAAACTGGATGGCGAATTCCAAGTATGGTCTTACCAAGTAAAAGTGGTACTAATACTTCATTTGATCTTGATTCTATCCCTCTATTAATTGGCTTTTTTGACGGTTGCAGCACATTGCTGGCTCACATTTAAGTGATTGTCAACTAGGACTCCCAAGATCCCTCTCGCAATTACTGTTGAGCCAGGTACCACCTATACTTGTGCCCAAATCATAATCATGTGACCATGGGGATACCGTCACAGTTGTAAGTTTGATGAGCGGTCCTAAAGTTACTTTTTCAGTGTCCTCTGTACCTTTACATGGTCACTGAGCAGGGCAGTCATTAACTGAGGGCTACATGTACCAGACTCTGCAGTCCAGTCTGCAGCTTTTTTGACTAGCAGCTCCTGCAGATTTTTTTCTGCCTGGAGCTCCTACAGCTTCTGTCCCATGGCAGCACACGAGATCATACCTCTTTGGGGAGTGGTGGATGAGTGTTCTGACAAGTAACTCAGTGTTGCCCTGGTGCCTTTAGCAGCTCCTCTTGTTGCAGCTGAATCTCAAACATCTGAACTAGAGGACTGACTGCTCGATGACCTTTGTGGCTTTAATTTGCTGTGTCTCTGTTTTTGGCAATTAGATTATCGATTCCAGCATGGTAGTCCAGGAGGAACCCAAAGAGCCGTTTGTATCCTCAGTGCTTCCCTGGATTATTCTTCATCGCATCATTCAGCATGAAGAAGAAAATGTCCAGCCCCTTTGCTGCCAACACGAGGAGCAGCTGCAGAATCCACAGGAAGGAGGTGAGTCCTGGTGTTTCTTTTCTTCAGAGCCTGTTTTTCCTCCTTCCCATCCTTCTGCAGTCCTCTGGCCCGATGCCTGTCCCCTTCAAAGGGTCCCAAAAGGGGATGCAAGGTGGCAGTCTACAAGCGCCTTCAAGACTCCCACATGCATTGATCTGAGCGTGTCATCGGGCACTTCATCTGATGGTTTTCTAGCGACAAGGTGCATCAGGTCTACAGCCGAGGTTCCCAAACAAATTTTAGTGTCTCAGTAATTTTGCATGTCACCCCACAATTCCCAAAACGTACCACAATGCTGAAGATACTGCAGCAAACATACTCGCAGGAGCCTGCAGCATTCAGTTTGGAAACCAGAATCTACTGTATTGCCACGATCCATTAAGGAAGTTGCCTGATCACAAATTAGGTAAACTTTTGTTTTTGACAAATCCATGCTGACCTCATAATTCCTTATCTGATACCTGGAAGCCAGAAGGTATAATGGAACATAGCAAAATTGAGGCTGAGCCTTAGCACGATTGACAAGCTGTTTGACTGGTAACCACAGTGTAATTGCCTGGCTGCCCTTCTTGATCTTGAGGATCTGCCTTGAGGAGGAGATCCCCAACCTGGTTTCTCAGCGCCTTCACAATCAGCAGGTGCCATGGTTGGGGATGGGTTTATCCAGCTTCAGGATGGCCCTTCTTGGAACCAGGAGCTCTGCTGACTGTTACTGATGCCCTCATCACCTCCCAGTTGGTGCTGTTAGTGCAAAGTGCAGCAGCTGCATATGCTGAGGAGGCCGAGGTGATCGAGCAATTCGATCGACTATTCTGAGTGATTCCTTTGGGCCGACTGTTTTGTTCCTTGCTTTGAAAGACTTTGTTGGAGCAAACAGATGGCTAAAGTACTCTTATTGAAATGAGAAACTGCTATCTCTGAAGTTTGCCAGCCATCCTTCTAAAGTTGATTTAAGAGTTCTACTTGTTTCTCATCTTATTTTCAGTGTCTCCAATTCAAGACACGCCTATGCTGCCCCCTTCCCTAATGCTGCTGAACACGGCCCATGAATACCTTGGAAGGAGATCCTGGTGCTGTAACTCAGATGGAGCCCTGCTTAAATTTTACGTGAGTAGAAATGTCCATTTCTTTTAGTATTGATCGCTTTTGATCTCCACCCTTGATATAGATAGGCAATTGTCCTGCATCTTGCATTGTTCAAAAAATGTAAGCTGATCTCTCTCCCCCCACTATTTACAGGTGGCTTGACATCCAACCTTTTTGAATATCCAAACAAATTACAACAAAAAATTAAGGAATTAGAAACTCAATTACAGAGTACCCCAAAGGATTCAAAATTGCAAAATCAGATAATAATAACTAAACATAAATTGAATTGAATTGAACAAGAGAGAATGATTATAAATTTGAATACAACTAGACAAACTTATTTTGAGCGTGCTAATAAGCCAGGGAGATGGCTATCATATAGACTAAAAAAAGGAAAGAAAAGAGATTGATATACCAGCTAATAGATGGAAAGGGGGAGATAGAACAGAAGAAGGAGATAGAACAGAAAAAAGAAATTGCCCATAAGTATTTTGAAGAGTTATATACAAAGGAAGAAGTTAACGAAGATAGAATAAGAAACTATTTAGATAAAGTGAAGGATAAAGCAATTGGGGAAGAAATGGAAGAATTATTAAACAAAGACATTACTTGGTTTGAATTGAAATCAGCAATAGAGAACCAGAAAAAAAAAAAATACCCGGGACCAGATGGGATTCCAGGGGAGCTGTACAAGGCAATAGCAGAACAAATAGGACCTCTTATGGTGGAAGTTTTTAATGACGTCTTATTGGCAGCCAGGATGCCGGACTCATGGAGGGGGGCATTGATTTCGCTGATCCCGAAGGAGGATTCGGATCCCCGATATATATACATAATTATAGGCCGATTTCACTGTTAAATACTGAATACAAAATATTCACTTCTATTATAGCAAGTAGACTAAAAAAGAATGTTAAATGAGCATATATATGAAGATCAAAATGGATTTCTCCCGACCAGACAAATCAGGAACAACTTAAGAATAGTACTAGATGTCTTAGAATTTCACGAAGCCCACCCCGAAAAACAAATTGCACTTACCCACTCTCACCCCTGCTATTCATATTATCATTAGAAGCATTACTAATGCGAATTAGACAGAACCCAGACATAAAAGGATTAAAGGTTAAGAAAGAAGAATATAAGTTGCAAGCGTTTGCGGATGATATGATTTTTTTCATTGAGGAACCAATAGAAAGAGGACAAAAATTGATGAATGAATTAGAACAATTTGGAGCAGTAGCAGGACTTAAAATTAATAGGAAGAAAACAAAATTAATGACTAAAAATTTAACAGAAAAACAGAAAATAGAACTAGAAGAAGTTATGGGAATACAAGTGATAAAGAAAGTTAAATACTTAGGAATATGGTTGACAGCACATTGTAAGACACTTAAGGAAAATAATTATGATAAATTGATGCAACAGGTAAAGAAGGATTTAAAAACATGGGGCAAGCTGCAACTTTCATTATTAGGCAGGATTGCTGCTATTAAAATGAATATTCTTCCAAAATTCCTATATATATTTCAGACGATCCCAATCAAAGTACACAATTTTTTTTTTGAAGAACTTAATAAAATAACTGTAAAATTTATCTGGCAAGGGAAAAAACCTGGAATAAATTTAAAGGCAATGCAGGATATGAAGAGCAGGTGACGGCTGGCACTTCCAAATTGGGAGTTGTATTATAGTGCAACCTCTTTAGTATGGTTGAAGGAATGGGTGAATTTAACCAATAAGAGAATATTATTCTTAGAAGGCCATGACTTGCAGAGGGGGTGGCATGCTTTTTTACGGGATGTAGGGAAAACTAGCCAGAAATATTTTCACCGACACCTAATCAGAGACTCATTATTAACTAATTGGAAGAAAATACAGAAAAAAACACTATTTAAAAATACCAATTTGGATTTCAACAATGGAGGCGATGATTAACCCAAATAATCTGGATATCACTAAAATGATTAAATATAAGGACCTATTGGATACACAAGGAAATTTTAAATCGCGGCAAGAACTTCAAGAGCAGGGACTAAAAATTGATCAGTGGGCATATCTTCAAATTCAAAGTAGATATAAACAGGACAAGAAAGAATTTGGAATTAACAATAAACTCCAGCAATTAGATAAAATTTTATTAGGATTTTTTTGCTGGAAATGCAAAAAAAAGAGGGAACTTTTTTCCATATGTGGTGGTCCTGTACAGAAGCTCAAAAATATTGGCAGAAAATTAGAAATTGGCTGGAAGAAATTACAAGAGAACAGATCGAATTCAAACCAGAGTGCTTTCTGTTAGGGATTTTTGATAAACAAATTTCAAAAAAAGTGAAATATATAATAATACACATTTTGACAGCGGCCAGATTGCTTTTGCACAATGTTGGAAGCAGCCTCATGTTCCATCAGAGGAGATGATCATTCAAAAAATTTCAAGTTGTGCAGAAATGGACAAATTAACTTTGGCATTAAAAAATAAAGACACTTCAATATACTACAACAGCTGGAACTGCTGGTACAAATGATAGACCAAAGATAGACTTCACACTAAAAGGCAAAAGAGCTACACAGATATATGTAAGGATTAGGTGTGTGTATATGGCATAAAATAAGGATAAAAAAGAGGTCTTACAAACTGTTGAAGATGAGAATGTTTTCAATTGTTTTCTATTTTTTTTCTTTCTATTTTCTTCTCCCTTTCTTCTTTTTCTCTCTTTCATTTATGTATGTGTTGTTGGTTTGTTTTAATTGTAAAATCAATAAAATTTATTTAATTAAAAAAAAGAATTCTATTCTATTTTATTCTTGCCCTAACTTCCTCACCAATATTTACTAGGTTTTAAAGTATATAAATGCAATATCACATGGTAAATTTCTTCTGTGTGCAGTTTTTTCTGCAAATATTTTGAACTTCTATTGGTTCCTCTTTACTTAATTCAAAAAATATTTCATTTCTCTCCTCAGAGGATAATTCTTGATATCTTTGTTACATTTCTTTGATATAGTTGTGACACTGTTCTGCCTTAGTCTCTAGTTTGTCATATCACTGAGATAACCTTAAAGGAATCTAGTTTAGATTCTAAGTCTAGTTTCTGCTCAGTAATCATATTTTTTTTCAGTTTTGATCACATTTTTGTTGAAACTTGCTCATATCCCCATGAATAAGTCCATAATTTATGGGAGAGCAACAGCAAAAAATATCACCTTCTCTTTTGTTGTTCGGTTTTTCCCATTCTTGTCAATTCACTAGTCTGTATTCTGCCTCTTGTCATTTTTAATGAAGAAGGAACAGTTTAAAATTCATTTTCATGAGTTTTCATAACTTTTCATAAATTCAGAAGATAATACTATGTTGTTGTTAAGAGTAATTATTAAGTTTCATAGTTTCCTTAATGGTTATATGTAATAAAACATTAAAAAAGCATTTGAAATATTATTTCATAAGGTCAATTAAAACGAGGATTTTTTTCAGAACATTCAGAACAAGTATTGCAATGGTCCTGTTAAATTATCTATAAAACCATATTAAAAAATAATTATGAAAGTCCCAAGTAATCATACTTATACTTGAGTATCCTCTTGTAATAGCAGCATATTGAGTTCAGTAATTAAAGTCAGAAAAAGAAAATATGACAGGTATGTGAGATCTGTTTTTGCCATTATGAATATCTAATTTTGCTTTCTCACACCAAAGCAAAGACATGTCAAGAATGCATACTTTTGATAGAAATCAACAATATTTGTTATTATTGTTGTAAAAAATTAGATTAGGGTTTGGAGAAGGAAAAATAAACAAAAGTTACTTTGTAGAACCTGTGATAAATTACAGATTGTAAAACTTAAGGCGGGAAATCTCAAATTTGTAAAGAAAGCGTAAAATTCAAAGGAATGTTACAAAGAAATTGATTAAGTACTTGATAAGAAATATAGTTGAACAGGGGTCCCCAAACTTGGCAACATTAAGACTTGTGGATTTCAACTCCCAGAATTCCACAAGTCTTAAAGTTGCCCAAGTTTGGAGACCTCTGCAGTAGAATAAAAGTCTGTTAATCTATTTACTGATGGTTCCACTCATGGTGAAAGATGGTAAAATTTGTAATCCACCAGATTTATTCAGCTTCAGGCTATCCCCGAGGGATAATCTGCTGCTCTGCTGTATATCTCAGGTTATCTTTGCCTGTCTGGTAAGATCCAACCGATTACCTCTTGTATAACAGGTTAAACAGTGGTGGTTCCAGTGTTTAAGAATACTCCCCACTTGGCTGGACCCTGCAAGTCAGAAGGAATCCCAGACAACGTGGCTAGGCAGGTCCCAGTCACAGCCTAGGATCACCCGCTCCTGAGCAGCTTAGATGCTGAGCAGAACGGCCAGGGCAACTGTGGGAGCTGTGCCTGGGAACCGGTCTGGCTTCAGCTCCCTAATTGCCATATTTAACCTGAGTTCATAACAGGGCTTGGTCAGAATCCGTTTCAGAATTCCTCCATGAAGGCTCTGTCTCCTGGAGCGTAGCTCTACAAGGTAGACCAACGCCATATAGGTCAGGACTGATTTTATTGGAGCAGGTCTAGTAATAGAATCTTGCAAGTCTGAATTTGGTCCCCTGCCTCCCTCTTGGGAAGGAACAGGAGGTTTTCCTCAAGTTGTTTCTCTTGGCCTGGGCTCGAGTCCTGCTTGCTTGCCTGACTCCTCCCTTTCGAGGCCATTCCTGTGACCTCAGCCTTGGGCTTCTCCTAAACCAAAGTAAAGTCTCGGAAAAGTGCAGAGAAGAGCAACCAGGATGATTAGAGGAGTGGAGGCTAAGACATACGAAGAACACTTGCAGGAACTGGGCCTGGCTAGTCTAGGGAAGAGAAGGACTAGGGGAGACAGGAGAGCAGCCTTCCAACATTTGAGGGGCTGTCCCAGAGAGGAGGAGGGGGTCAAGCCTTTTTCCAAGGCACCTGAAGGCCAGACAAGGAAGAATAGATGGAAACTGATCCAGGAGAGATTCAACTTAGAAATAAGGAGGAATTTTCTGACAGGGAGAACAGTAAACCAGTGGAAGAAGTTGCTTTCAGACATTGTGGGAGCTTCATCACGGGAGGCTTTCAAGAGGAGGTTGGACTGTCCTTTGTCAGAAATGGTGTAGGGTCTCCTGCTTGGGTGGGGGGTTGGACTAGATGACCTAAAAGGTCCCTTCCAGCTCTGTTAATCTGTTAAGTCTGTTAAATACTTCGGGAAGTATAAGAACTGCTTCTGCTGACACCCAGTCACCAGACAGTTGGTGGGACAGGCTACCCACTCACTGCAATGCCCCAGCTTCTGGACACTCTGAAGCCTGGACAGACCTTTCTAATAGGCCTGACAGCCCTTGGGAGGTCTTGGGTCACGATCAGTGGCAATTGGATCAAGACGTGATTTAACTACAACCAATGTGATGCTTCTGTATTCAGATCATTGTAGCTCAGAGGCAACCATGAGGTGTAGTGTGTGTTGTCCTGCATCTGTTGGGCCAGAGATTAATGAGGAGAAGCCCTAGGACCTGGCCATCAATTTCCTGTCTTTCCCTGACGAGTTCCCTCACCAGCTCTGAGATCAGATCAGAAAGGGAATCAGCTGGTCAGCAGGACGGCTGCCCTTCCCCCAGATGGACTCACAGAAAGACCACAGATTTTTTGTGATCATCGTCTCAAGTAACAGGATGCAGATACTTGTGGAACCACCTTTTTTCCCATTCCATAAGATCCAAGAGGATTGGTACGGTTTGGGTCCCATCTACCAAGCCGTGTTATTTCTAGGACCCAGAAGATGGGCCTTCTCCGTCCCCATGTCTGCTGTCTGGAATAGGACTTCTCCAAGGTCCGTAGAGCCTGATCCTGCTGCCCTTTAAGAGGACCTGGCTTTTCCCACCGGTAGGGGTTAGGACATTGTGTGCATCTGCCACTTGAGTTCCTACGCTTTGTGTGCTGCATATTGGTTCCAAGCTCGCCTTCCTGAACACCCAAATGAGATCTTTGCTTGCCCTCAACTGCACGTTCCGTAACCTAAACGTTTGTTTCTGTTCTAGGTGCGGGTTCTGCAAAAAGAGCTTTTGGCCCCCACCACAGAAGACACCCACCCTTACAAAGAGGAGCTGGAGACGGCCCTGGAGCAGTGTTTTTACTGCCTGTACGGCTTCCCAAGCAAAAAGAGCAAAGCTCGCTACTTGGAAGAGCATTCTACGCAGCAGGTGAGGCTGTCCGGTGCTCAGGAGCAGAGAGGCCTCTTGGCCAGAGATCCCTCCACAATTTATGATGCCACCACGGGCAAAGCTTATGTCCTGTTTCTGACAGGGGTCAGCCGCAGGTTTGTAAGACACCTGCCTGATGGCCATCTTTTTTTCCTAAATTGTGTCTCAAAACGTAATCGAAAAGGTTTAATCCAAATAGTGAAAACAAAGCTAATGATACTGTCAATACAATTAAGCTTAGAGCGGCTCTGTCTGTTCAGGACTCTGAAAGGTTATTGCACAGCAGTTCCTCAGAATCCTACAAGGTAAGAAATCCTATAGGTTATGAAACCCAACCTCAACCTGACGCTCATTGGAAGAATCCAAAGGGGGCTCTTCTCAACAGATGATAGTCTGGGCTTTGCTGAAACGGGTGGAAGAAGGAGGAGGAGCCTCCAGGGTAATTCTCACTTCACGTCTTGGTTTGTTCAAGGCTTATTTTAAATCTCTTTCTTTCCAAGGTGGAATTGATCTGGGAAGATGCCCTATTCATGTTCGAATATTTTAAGCCCAAGACCCTTCCTGAGTTTGACAGCTATAAAACCAGCACCGTCTCTGCTGACCTAGCCAACCTTCTGAAGAAGATGGCCACGATTGTCCCTCAAACAGATAAGCCTATGCTGAGATTGGAAGAAGTGTCGAGTTACATTGAAGGGACCTTAACCAAGGTACGGATTATTTGGCTTCTGGGAATTCTTCATAAGAGTCCCAAGTGCTTTATTTTCAGACTTCAGAAGAGAGCTGGCTGAGGCTATTGCATGAGAAAAATAGGAAAGCTTGGGGTGCACGTAGAAACAGCTCTCCTTTTCGTGGACTTAAGCAGGTCCTACAAAGATTAAGATTAAACTGTGATCACTGCTGGTGCTTATGGGTTATTGAAACGTCTGCAAGTCAACAGAGAAGCTCAGAGAGCACCAATTAAACCCTGAGCCAAAGATTCTCTTCTGTTGGGTCCAACTCTGTTTAACCATCCTTGTTAGAAACCTGCATAGTCCCTGTTTTAAGAAAGCCAACATTGTCCCATTATCCATCTGATTTTACAGCTTCTTCTGAGATTCAGTTGGAATCTTACCAAATTCTATTATCTGTTATCCCATATCCTGTGTTCTGACTTTCTCCTACGAGGTGGAATTTACAGGCTTTGAAGTATGTTTATATCACCTCAGCTGTCTTTTCTCAAGACTAAATATACCCAGCTCAGCAAATTTCCTTTGGTTTTTCTATCTTCAGATCATGGTTGTTACTGTTCTTTGTACATATTTCGATTTCATAGAATTACAGGACCTAAAGATTGGAAGGGATCTTGATTCAATCCAACCCCGTGCCCAGAAAGGAATTACTGTTGCATTATCCCTGGCATTCAACTTCTGTTTAAGGGGTCCTCCATCAGCTGAGGAAGCCTGTTGGATTGTTGAATGTGTCTTACCATTCAAAACCTGCCTCCTTATAATTTACCCCTCTTGTTTAATCATCTGTTTTTTTGTTCTATGCAACCAGTTTCAACAAAGTGATTAAAAGTCGTTGAAGTCATGTTAATGCCTCACCTGATTGCCTCCCGGAAACTAGCTAAAATGGCTTTTCTGGAGACCATTTTGGAAATGCCGTTCTTTTCTCTATAGTGGATTATTAATGCAATGTTGCCTTGGGTTTAGTATGATTTTATTGGGGTAAACTGCCAAGGCCTCATGAAGATTATACAAGCACATAAAGACAGAAATGCCCACTGATACACTGGATGTGTCATCCCACACTTAGACAAACAGTTGCCTGTTCACGTTCTCTTTTGGCCTTTTGTGGACCTCCAGATACCTTTTGTGAATATCTTTGCCTTTGCTAGTCTCCTGAAGGCCAGCCTGGTAGTCCAGACAGCCCTCCCCACCAAGCCAGAAGTTGCCCTGATCCCTGAACAGAACACAAGAGTGCCTGATGTGGTGTATCTCTTTGTTGCCAGGTGCCAGCTCTCCCAGAGGGCGCAGACTTCTCTCCTCCAGTGGTGACCGAGCTATACTACCTCCTGGCCGACTACCACTTCAAGAATAAGGAACAGTCCAAGGCCATCAAGTTCTACATGCACGACATCTGCATCTGCCCAAAGAGGTCAGGCTGACTGGCTGCTCAGAGGGGAGCCTCTACCTGGTTTCAGGATGGTGTCTGTGTTGCCTTCCTTTGGCCCTGCCCATGGTCTACGTTCCATGGGCACCTGGGCCTCCAGAAAATGGCTGCTGTGGCTGCTGCAGCTGTTGTGGATCCTGGCGGCAGCAGCTTCTCTCCTGGGCAAAGCCCTTCAGTGGGAAGGAAGCAGGTGGTGCTGAGGCCGTGTCAGGGAAGAAGGGCTGCCTCCCCACCCCCCTCCATCGTGGAGAGAGGCATCTCCTCTTTCCTCTTTGATCGGTTTTTGCCCTTGAAATGAAAGGAGCATGAAAATGCCTGACGTGAGCACAGGTTGAAACATGGATGGGTGTTTACTCTGTTGTTTTTACATCTGTTACACTATTTAATACAATAGACATCTTGTGTTGAATTACAGCCTTCCAAAGTCAACCCCATTGCTATATTTTGTCATTGAAACCATAGAAGGTTTTCATGGTTCAGAAGATTCTTAGACCCAACAGAGGATATTAAGCTCATAAAAGAAATAGTAAGAAAGTGAGCCAGGAGGAACACCCGTGTAGGACTCTATGGCTTGGGACTGATTTCCAAAACTGTAGCTTTGAGAAGTTGTTTCAGCTGCCCGAAAATGCTCTCAGAGCAGCTTTTAACTAGAAAGCTGCTGATACCAGATGCTTTATTTTGGATCCTGGACTGAGCAGAAGGTTGGGAGTAAATTGCCACTTTCAGCCCTTTGATTCTACACAATATGCTTTTGTTTATCAAATTAGTACTTCAGTTGGATCTCCTTTCATTTACAATAACCTTCTCAGGTTGACTGGACTCTGAAACAAAATAGTATATATTCCCTTTGCTGATAGAGAGCTTAGAATAGGCAGTAGTTTAGATTCCCAAAGGACTTAGTTCTCATAGGAAAATGGATATTATTAGTGTGGCATTAGAGACACTGATTTAAGCACTTTCATATACAGGTAATCCCCGGGTTACGAGCATTCCCTTAGCGAATGTTTGAAGTTACGTGATAAAGTCCCCTAGTGTTTACAAACAAGTCCCGAAACTACGAATCTTGCAGCACCACGAACAACCTCAGAGGCCCTGCAACATTCGTCCTGCACTTTGCTGGCCAAAACAGATTTGGAGGGGCAAGCCGGCCTCTCTTGACGCTCCATTTTCGCCTGCGTGGGCTTCACCTGGCACTTTATGTTTTGGCTGGCAAAGTGCCGGACGAGACCTGCGCACAGCAAAATGAAGCTGCGGAGGGTTACGCGCAGCTGAGAGGCTGGAGAGGAGACAGCTTTCTAGATCTTCGCACAGTAAGTGACCCGGCATGGCAGGTTGTGGGGAGGGGAAGCAATTGTGGGGAGCATGAGGTATTTCAGTGGGTCAGAGCGGCCTTAGGTGGTCTTAAGCAGAGGGCCTGTTCCATCACTAGCCACCGCCCCCCCCCCGGCCTTCCCCATCCTAAAATACCTCATGTGCACTTAATGAACACACATTTGATTATTGAATGTGTTGGCGAAAGCAGGGAGTGATCTCGTTCAAGGTAGGAGATTCACTCTCATGAATTGGTTGGATTTGATGACCTACAAGGTCCCTTCCAATTCTGTTAATCTGTAATCTACTGAATCCTCGGGTTACAAATGGAATGAGCAAACTTGAGGACTACCTGTACAAGTTCAGGAAGTCGAGCCTTAGGAATGGATGACATGACAGCTAAAAAGCATTTGGACAGCAAACAGCTAGTAAAGATGGGCTGCTGGCTTTAATGAAGGACAAGGAAGGGCTGGCAAAGCTGTGTTAAATCGGACCATGTTTGCATCACTGAGGAGAATTGTTTGGCTCTGAAGACCAGAAGAGAAGTAGCAACACTAGAGGACAATTGCACACCAGCATGGAGGGCACTGAGAGAGTTCCAGGTGTGCTAAGAGTAAAAGTAGCAGAGCACAATTGCTAGCCAAACTGAAGAGAGAACTGCCATGAATCTGTGTGACACACATACACACGCTTAACCTCTAAAATTTATAAGGTTTTAAAAAATAGACTGGTGCACAGACACATTAAGTTTGTATCATAATCCGAACATCTGTATACATTCTTAGGATTGCTCTGGGGCCACCTGAAATTCAGGGGGAAAAAACAGTTTAAAAGCTAACAATAGCAGGTTGTCTTGTCAACAGAGAAGGAAGAGATGCTCTGCGATGGAAGGTCAGGCAATTAGCCAACTAATGGTTGCATTTACAAAGCTTAGCTGAAAAACCAGCTACTTCTGCTAGGTGTTATCAGAAGCTGGGATAAACCCCCAAATGCTCTTTGACTCCTCTCTTTTGGTCAAGGTCCCTGAGTCTGACAGTTCCCTTGAGCAGACTGTGGTGAAAAGCCAAGTGCCTTGCAGGATCTCAGTGGTTGGCCCTCCTGGGTTCTTGCAGAGGCAGAGTGGGACTGTGGGTGTATGTTCTCTTTCAGGTTTGACTCATGGGCAGGCATGGCTCTGGCCCGGGCCAGCCGCATTCAGGATAAGTTGAACTCCAACGAACTGAAGAGCGACGGCCTCATCTGGAAGCAATCCACCCCAGTGCTGAGCTGCTTCAAACGAGCCCTTGAGATCGACGGATCCAACCTCTCGCTCTGGATCGAGTATGGCACCATTTCCTATACTCTACACTCCTTCGCCTCCCGGCAGCTGAAGCAGTGGAAAGCAGAGCTTCCCTCGGAGGTGGTGCAACAGGTGGGGACGGCTGTCCCTGCACAAGGGGCTTGGCCACCCTGCCCACGATTCACTGCTGAGCTGGCTTCCTCTTTCAGATGGAAGAGCGGCGCAACGGCATGTTGGAAACAGCCAAGCATTGCTTCACGTCCGCTTCCCGCTGCGAGGGGGACGGAGACGAAGAGGAGTGGCTGATCCACTACATGCTGGGGAAGATTGCGGAGAAGCAGAAGCAGCCCCCAGGGGTCTACCTCTTTCACTACAAGCAGGCGGGTCACTTCTTGCATGAAGAGGCAGCACGGTACCCCAAGAAGATCCACTACCATAACCCCCCAGAGCTTGCCATGGAGGCCCTGGAGGTAAGGCAAGGCCCAGACCCCCCCCAGTCCTGCTGCTGACCAGAGCTGCCTCCGTATAAAGGTAGCCTGTGGCTCAGATGAAAGTCTCCAGCTGTTCTTCCTCTTGGGCCTTGCAAGTTGCAAGTCAGCCTGATGGAGGAAGCTGGCCGAGCTTGAGCCTCTCTTCCCCCGGGGGCTACAGGCAAGGGGCTTGATATCTATCCTGGACTGTGTCATCTTCAAAAAAACACAAACATTTGGGATTTTGAGAAAGGCTGCGTTCCTATGCATCTCCCCAATCTGGTTCCTTCTTCCACCCCTTATAGTCCTCTAGTCCTGAGGGATGTGCAAGAAAAGCCTGTGTGCCATTCCTCTAATGCTGAGCCCCTTTGGCTGGATGATTCCAATGTTTCAATATGTAATTCAATGCAGTAGACGTGCCCCGCTCCTTCCTCCTCCTACTTTAGTCATGACAGCCATCACCCACTTGGGCTGAGTGAGAATGATTGGCCAAAAGTCACCCAACCGGTTTTCATGGCAGATGTACCCCAACAAGTCCCCCCCAAAGAGTGTGAACTGAGTGGGACACAGCCACTTTGGGAAGAAGTTACAGGTGCCATTCTCAAAATCACCTGACTAATGTAATACAAGTAGTTCTCGCTTAACAACCATTCGTTCAATGGTCCTTCAAAGTTATGGCAGTGCTGAATGGTACTTAAACTCTTGGGCCTGAAGTTATAGCAGCCCCCCACGATTATGTGATCAAAACTTGGTTGCCCGGCAGGCCACCCCCCACTACAACCCCCGGGGCACTTCAATTCCCCCCACCCCCTACCTTCCCTCTCTCCCCCTCAGCCTTTTCAGCCATCCTCTGCAACACAGCATGGGTGGCACTGTGGTTAGAATGCAGTACTGCAGGCTACTTCTACTGACTGCCGGCTGCCTGCAGTTCAGTAGTTCGACCCTGACCGGTTCAAGGTTGAGTCCGCCTTCCCTCCTTCCCAGGTAGGTAAAATGAGAACCCAGATTCTGGGGGGCCACAGCTGTGGGGCAAGACAGCTGCTAGTCAAGCTCGTGCCATTTTCCAAATAGAATAGGATGGGATAGGAATGGGATACTTCATTGGCCAAGTTTGATTAGACACAACAAGGAATGTGTCTCCAGTGCAGAAGCTGTCAATGTACAGCGCATCGCAAAACAACAGGGTAATAATACTTGTAATAAGGACACCAATAAGAGGCTAGTAGAGAAGATGAGAAGGACGATAATAATGCTACGACCATAAAACATGGATAAGACAGCACTGTGGGAATTAAGGTGTTCGGCAGAGTGATGGCACAAGGGAAAAAACTCCCTGTGTCTGTTTTAGCACGCAGTGCCCTATAGTGGCGTCCCAAGGGGAGGAATTGAAGCAGTTTATGTCCAGGATGTGAGGGTCTGTAGATATTTTCTCATCCCACCTACTGACCCTCGCGTTATACGGGTCCTCAACGGAAGGCAGGCCGGTTGCCGTTGCTCTTTCTGCAGTCCTAACGATCTGTTGGTCTGTACCTGTCCTGTTTGATTGCTGTGCCAAACCAGATCAGTTGCTGAGGTACAGATGACGGACTCAATAATTCCTGCATAGAACGGTACCAAGCAGCTCCTTGGCCAGTCTGAGCTTTCTGAGTTAACCCAGGAGGAACATCCTTTATTGTGCCTTTTTAATTATAGTGTCCATTTCAAATTCTAGGGGATCACAGAATCCAGAAACTTGAAGGATTTTACTTCATCTTGTGTTCATATTGAATATTATAGTATTCATATTATACTATATTCATATTGAATATAGTAAAAGGTGATAGAGGAGGTGGGCTCCTCCTAAAATCCACTCTCACCTCTACAGTTTGAAGAACAGCAGGCACAGCCTTGTCGCGTTGCTCAGGGAAGGGTTCAGAAGGTCTCTGAAGGCCTTCTGAAGCATCACGAGAAGGTGTGCGTCATTTGGAGAGCAGTGCAAGGCCTAACCCAGGCCAGGGTGGCACTTCTCATCTGCAAAGGGACATCTTTTCTGTCCGTTGTGGTCTTGAGATACGTTTCTCCCCTCATCGCTGCAGTGATGGGATTTCCTGTATCCCTCAATATCATCATCCTTCCCCTCTACATGTGAAGATTCCTCCCCCCCCCCCCCCCCCCCCCCCCCGCGGGGAGGGCCCCCCCCCCCCCCCCCCTCTCCTCAGGCACTGAGATTAGCCCTTCCCCAACCGAGAGGAAGAGGAAGGAAACTGTCTTGAGCTTCTGAATGAAAATGAAAGTCCACCTGAAGTCTGGTGGCCTCCTCGGCCACCAAAGAAGGCAGGTAGCTCTGCACAGTGGCAGGTTGGTTGATCGAGACTTTTATACCTTGGCTTTATTAGACTGCAAGAACAATAAGAGGAGTGAGAACAACTCAACTGCCATGCTGGGCAACACGAGAGGCCTCCTGGTCCAGAGATTTGAAGGGCTTCCCTTGCCCTGAGAGGCCCAGACCCCTTTAGGGGCGGATCTGCCTTGCCTTGCTTTTCCTTCTCCTCTTGTGCTTGGATTTTGTAAGATGGCTGGGTTCAAAGGAGAAACTTTTGCCACAGTGAGTTTCTTTCCGGTAGGTCTACTTTCGGCTTCACGCGTCGATCCTCAAACTGGTGGGGAAACCTGACTCAGGAGCAGATGCTGAGCTGCTGGTGACTTTTATGAAGGAAGCTGCCGAGGGCCCCTTTGCCAGGGGAGAGGAAAAAAACACCCCCAAGCTCTCTGAAAAGTGAGTCCCTTTTGTCGATGGCTTCAGTCCAGAGGGAGGGAAACGTTTTCTGGGGCGGGGTAGCAGTGGTGGTGCTAAAAGCAAACCTTTGAAGACGTATTACTACGGCCCTTGGACATTCTGACATTTTGAATTGCCCAGTTTATACTGGACGCTAAATGGAAAGCTTGGCCGAAATCTTCACAGGCCTCTTCTGGACAGCCAGCTCGACATAAGAAGAGCCATCCTCTGTATCAGTAAAAGCCTCTCGGGATTTTGCTTTGCAAGAGCTGCCAATGGGGCATCTCCAAGAGACACGGTCATCCCCACACACCAAGTGTCCCAGGACGAGATTCCCGGCGGCGTGCCTGAGTCAGGGAATCGTGGTGGGAGGGAAGGGTGGAGGGCCCAGCAGGAACAGCTGACCTCCAGCTATAAAAATCGGGGTGTGGGGGGGGCTAGGGTGTGGCTCATCACTGTTGAAGTCATGCTGGGTCAGAGAGAGAATTGGGACCTCATGAAAATTCCTCACTGACAACAAGACATGTTTGCTCCGAATGCTGGGGACCCTCACTAAGAGGCTAAGCAAACAGCAAATAACGTTGTTCCCACAAAGACCCCAAAAAATTCAAATGCAACATTCCTTTTTTTATGTTTTAAGATGTATTTTGAGCAGAAAGTCTGTTTGGCTCTCTCACCCAGTTGTCACCCAGTAACACACGGGGCTGTTCAGGAGTCTTAGAGAAATGCCTTGTGCTCTGTCCAGCTGGGCAAACAGGTGCTAAGCAGCAGCTGCCATCCTTGTGCCCCTTTTCCAGCCTGGGTAAGTCAGGGTTTAGGTGATGCAGAAGCTGGCAGAGTTTTGCAGCTTTTAGCACCGGCAGTGCCCAATCAGCTTCCCGGGACAATCATCTCGGGGGATGGTTCCTGTTTGGGTGCCCAATCTCAACCACATAGGAAGACAGAAACGTCCCTCTACATTCTTTTCAGACCACTTATTCGAATGGGTGGTGGCATTCCTTGAGAATTTAGAATTGGAAAATATCAAAATAACTTTTGCATAAAAACAAAAGCAGAAGAACGCATATCTGCTGAGGAAAGGCTCCAAAAGGAACTTAGCAGAACATAAATGACATATCACCAAAATAAACCAGACTGATGGTAATAAGTCAGTATAAAAATAACTGATGTAATTTTCAACATGATTTATTAGGGCTGCAGTGTTTCAATACAGATAGTCCTCGACTTACAATTGCTTATAGATCATTTTGAAGTTATAACAGCACTGAAATAAGTGACCTATTGCAGCATCCCCACAGTCATACGATCAAAATTTGGATGCCTGGCAACTGGGTGCACGTATATATGATGGTTTCAGTGTTTCAGGTTCACATGATCACCTTGGCGACATTCTGACAGGCAAAGCCAATGGGGAAGCAGGATTCACTTCACCACCATGTCATAGAATTGCGTAGCCGGTGTCCAAATGAAGTAATAGACCAGTGATGGCAAACCTTTTCGGCCGAGTGCCCAAACTAGAACGTATATGCATGCGAGCGCTGGAAACCGAAAGCCAGCTGGCCTGTGTGCATATGTGTGCCGGCCAGCTGGTCTTCACGCTGGCCGGAATGCTGGAAACCTGAAGACCAGCTGGCTGGCATGCGCACAGAGAGGGCTCTGCGTGCCACCTCTGGTACGCGTGCCATAAGTTCGCCATAGATGCTGACATGAACTTACACTGTTATATAAATATATTTACACCAAACAAGATAATCGTCAAGTAAATCAACATAGCAGGAACAACTTGAGGTAAATTAAGGGGGGAAAAGGCAGGAAAAAACTCCCTCTCCACGCCCACGGCAACCAATCACAGCACAGATTACTTCAGGCAGCAGGCAGCAATCTACAACTAGTTAACCCACACAACTGTGTGCTACTGCACAACCTTTTACTGCTCCAGCTGCTCAATGTAAAAGACCTTAAATCATGTTATTAACTTAACAGCTGCAGTGATTCACTTAACAACTATGGCAAGAAAGGCTGTAAACTGGAGCAAAGTTCACTTAACTGTCTTTCTTAGCAACCGATATTTTGGGCTCAGCGGTGGTCCTAAGTTGAGGATTACCTGCATTTTGGTTTCTGAAAAGTGTGTTGAGTTCCAAGTAACGTAGCGTTTTCCCCCAGTCGCCTCCTATGGTAGACCTCCTGCATCAGAGGGGAAGGCCAGGGAGCTTCTGTAGTGACATCGGCAACGTCACAAGCACCCTATCACTACGCAATGTAGGACGTGCAGCTCCACCACCACGACCGTTACGTTCAATTAATTCTTAGGTGTCTGGAATCTGGGCCTAAATATGAGAGCTTTTCCCCCTCAAAAAATGCCAAAACTATGTGTTAATTAGAAGGGCACCAATCCTGCTGTTCCTGGTCTTTGTTGGAGGGAAATAAAGAAGAAGGACGCAACTGACGAGTGGATTAACCGTCCCGGGGGGTGTTTGGGGGGAACGAGGGCTTATAAACACTTGGGCGCATTTCCTTGGCAGCAGCCAGAAAGTGGGTGTAGGGCAGTGAGAGGGACTTGTGGGCAGCAGGAGGGAAGGAGGGCAGCCTTGTGGGATATGGAATCGGGAGAAGGCGCATTAAGGCCATGCCTCTGCTCTTGGGCCCTGGAGAATCCAGGCGTTCGCATCGAGTCCTGTCACTTTGTCCAGCTGTGACGGCTGTCCTGCGCCAGGCCCCCCGCCTCTGCAGAGTGCTTGCCCCCCTCCCCCCCCCCCCCCCCCCAGGAGCCACGGTGGGCCTTTCCGCTCTTCACGGTCTCAATCCTCTTCTTCCCCCAGGGAAAAGCTTTGCATGGCAGACGAGGACTCGCGTTCTTCTGCAGGAACTCTGCCAGGCCCCGGGACTTCCCTGCTCTCTTCCTCCGGTCCAGGTCTGACTTCCCCACCCTACACAGCCACTCCAGTTGACCACGATTACGTCAAATGTAAAAAAAGCCATCAGCAGGCAACACCGGATGGTACAGTCCCTGTTCTCAATACTGTCGGCACTCGGAGGTGCTGGACTCCTGGCGGGCGGGCGGGCTCAATTGGCGGCTTCCAGGAGGGCGAGGGGTCTAGGGTAACACGGGCAATATTGTCACTCATTAACCCCTTTTGCCACCACCTCCCCTCTGACCTCAACAATAGGCGGGCCTAGTTAATGCGCTTTCCTGAGGTCTCAGGCTCAGGGCGTTTCCCAGAGTCCCTCCAAAAATCCAAACTTCTGCCCTCATCCTGAGCTTGGGATGACTTGGGATGATGTCAACTCCCAGGATTCCCGGCTGTCACAGCATGGGCACTGCACACCGTCCCTTTCTTCTCACGGGTCAGCTTAGCGCTGCAGCCGATGGGCGGCTTGTCCTGCTGCAGCCGGATGGGAAGTGGCTGCCTGTTGGGATGGGCCCTGATCCACCAGGTCGCCTTGCGAGGGTCTGCCTCTGTCCCGGAAAGCTCTGCCGTCTCTTCCGGGGAACGCAGAGGAGTCTGCCACGGAATGAGTTGCTCTCCAGTCCTCCCAAATGCTCCAAAAGAGTAGACGGGAAGGGGCTTCCTCTTAACAGCCGCCTGCTCGCTCTGCGGGGCTTCAGTTGGATCTTGGGCGTCAAGGGGGAGACCGCTGCTTTCCTTGCCTGGGAAAGGTAGAAACAGCCTCACCACCAGGCTGTTTCCTGGCCTCTGTAGGCCAAGCAGGGCTTAAGGCCGAGCATGCAGAGGACACCTTTCCTGTCAGTCGAGAGGCAGACCAATAATGCAGCTTCCCTTCCTGTCTTCCATCGCAGCCGTTGGGTCGCTCATTCATTTTTGGCATTCGGTCATAGCCAGAGACGATGCCCTCCACCCAACTAAGGATAGCTGCCTATTTAGGAACCTTCTTGCAAACATTCCGCACGAGGATCTGGGTGACAGATCTCGTCTCATCCTTTTGGAATAATTTGGCCCAGAGAGCTAGACCTTTGATCTTTGGTGGACCTGGGCCCATTCACCAGGATGCATCCCCCGCTCCGCTTCCCTTTGAGAGGAGCTTCAGCATTGTTTCGTTGGCCTTTTTGCCACCATCTACCTATCTTCTCATTTCTCTGTCCATGGTCGCCCCATAAAACTGCTTTTCTGAGAAGCCTTCTTTTCTGGAACATCCTTGTCTCTCTTGCACCATAACTCCTTAAACCCAACTGGAACATGCTAGAAGCAACGACAAATGAGTGACTGCTTTTACTCAGAAAACAGGGAGGGGGTGCTCTCGGGGGACCCTCTCCGAGCAGGGCCGGAGGAGAAGTGAATTGCGGCAAGTCTCAGGGGTGAAGCTGCCACAGTTGGGAGGGAGTGGAGCAAGATAAATCCCGATAACCAGCCATGGAGGGGAGAAAGGGAACTGTTTCAGTTGGCCATAAATACTTAGGAGTATTTGTGGGTCCAAGATGAAATGCAGTTAGAGAAGATCATTAGGAGCCCTCGAACCTGGAGGGGGAGGGGTGTCCCTGGGGCTGCTCTTCCCAGTTTGTCCTGTATATGAGCAGAGAGGCCTGGGATGGTTCTGGTCCCTAAAAAATGACCATTAGATTTATCTACTGCATTTTGTTATGGAGTTCACCAAGACGCACAGAGCACTCCTCCTCTTATTTTCCCCCATGAAAGTTTTATGATGCGCATTGCGCTAAGAGAGAGATTAACCCAAAGTCAGCCAGGGCCTCCATAGAAATGGAGGACAGAAACGTGTTCCTGCAAATTAAGAGAAACCCCCGTTCAAGGACTGATCACATGTTGTCTGCAATCCACCTGGGATTTGGGTGCAGCTCAGAAGACAGAATGAAAGCCAGTTTCTTGTCTTACCCAATCCACGACTGGCTGCAGACATAATTCAACACCTGCCCAGTTTCACCTGGGCTGGGTGAGTCAGAAGTGTTGAGCTCCAGCTAGTCACCCTCAGGAAGGGACTTGGTGCCTAAATGAAATGGCCCTTAACTCCCATGGCCACCAGTCAGCTGAAAAAGTTTATTTGGTTGTTTCGTGATGTTACTCTCCATTGCCCTGTAAGCCAGTTCACTCAGTGCATCCTAGCAGGCTTAATGGCTTACTAATAAATATTAGCATCTGTGGCATCAGAATTTCAGTTAGGGCTTTCAACTAAACTGATCAGATGGGACACATCAGCTTAGAAAATGAGGCTGACCTGCTCTTTCAGAGGGCAGAACCATCTGGCCATGGCAAGAATTGAATCCTTAATCAGGGAGAATAGGGAGGCCTCCTTGGGGATGTGAGGGGGAGAACTCCTCTGTCCTCGCCTCTGCAATGCTCCCCCCTGGTTTGAACAAGGAGAAGTCCTGACTCTTAGACCAGTCTCTTCCTTATGGCGATGTCCATGAGATGTCCCTCATTTTGACTGTGACTCAGATTCACCCATAGGGCTTTTAAAGAAATCACTCTCTTCTCAGCCCAGCCCCACAATTAAGACCAGGGCACAGAAATGGACTCCTGTGTGGACAGAAGCAGCTTGACCTGGCCACATTTGTACTGGTCTGGAGTTTCAGTGACGCAGCCAGAGAGCATGAAAGGGATGCCTGCCTTTTTATTACGGCAGAATGAGACAAGGCAACTAGAGAAAGCCCATCTGGCTGAACATGTTAAATGCTAAAGAGAGGCCCATCTTGGGGCCCATTTTGGATCAGCACAGTCCGTTCTATAGAAAGGAATGGGAAGAGTCTAAATTGAAATTGGTTACCCCCCTGGCCAGACCTGACTTATCTGCCTGCTTTCCCTCCTGGCTGTCCTGCTGTCCAGCTGCCTTCGTCCGTCAGCAGGACCTTCCTTCCCCAGGCCTTGAAGGTAGGGAAACATTCCAGGGGAGCCAATGTCATCCTTGTCACTCTGTGCCATTGTTCACTCAGTTGTGGCTGTTTTGGTTCGTTTCTGCTGTTTTGTTTTTGTTTTTGTATATTCATGCTTTTGTAACCAATATTGCCTGTGTTGCCCTAACCCTGTTAAAAATGATTCATAGACTTTCCTTACCTGCTTGTTGCCCATCACGGCTTGCTTGAACATCAGCGCTGCGACTGATAAGTCTGTTGGCTGTGCAAATGTTGGAGAAGCCCATAACGGCAACAGCTGCTGCAACCTGCATTGGCTTGACGATGGCTGGGGAGACTTGGGCCCCTCTCGCTTTTCTGCTGAATCCATTTCTGCTTATTCTTTACCTGAGCAGTTAGTTACATTTCTGGAAGAAAAAAAAAGACTGTTTGTGGGCAACAGACAAGTCCATTTGCAGAACTAATTCCATCCCCCTCACCGCAGAATATCCCCTAAGGCAGCGTTTCTCAGCCTTGGCAGCTTGAAAATGGGCTTTGCTGGCTTGGGAATTCGGGGAGTTGAAGTCCACCCGTCTTCAAATTGTCCTGGTTGAGAAACACTGCCCAAAAGTGACCAGGTCTGACTTATTCCCGAACCGGGCCAGCCATTGTATTGAAATAGGTGTGGCATTCTGCTTCAAGAAACCTTGAAGCCGAGTCAAAATTGGACATTCAGTCTTGTGGCCCCAACTGAAGAACTGGGACCGATGGATCCAGATCAGGATAGTCTAAAACGGGGGTCTCCAACCTTGGCCACTTTAAGACATTGTGGACTTCAACTCTCAGAATTCTGGGAGTTGAAGTCCACAAGTCTTAAAGTGGCCAAGGTTGGAGACCCCTGGTCTAAAACCTGACCGTTTTAACTACCTTTTGTTGGGCAGTCATGCTTCTGTCCCGTTTTTCACCCAGAAAAGCCCATCATGGCTGAAACAGAGGGCCAGGCAGGGCAGGAACAACTATGAGTCTTCACTCTATTGGAGGAGGCACGTGTCTGCCCCCAAACTGACTCCACATCAAAATGTACCACAGTCACTGACAGAAAAGACAAGATCATAAATAAAATCGAACACATAATAAAGCATTCGATAAATTCTCCTGTGTAAGTGAGATTCCCTCTGCAGGCATTCGCTCCATTGTGCTCTTCTCATGGCATTTCCATGCCACTCAGCACAGCTTCACCACAGGGAGGGGACTTAGCGATTTCTGCCACAATGTGAGGCTCACATAAAATTGTTCAGTACAGCTGGCAAGATTTAAAAAAAAAAAAAACACGGATGGAAGTCTGTCCTCTTAAATCACTGCCCTCTGTGACTCTTAAAACTTTTGGGAATTTCCCCTGCAGAATGACTCACCCTTTAAAGTGAGTCCTTGGAAATCACCACACACACATCGAGGATGTGCAAAAATACCAATATTTTGCAGGCACCAATTCATAGAATTGGTGGTTATCTGATGCCAGGACCCACCTTGCTAGTATAGTGACAGGCCTGTGAATAGTCAAATTGAAAAAGCAGAAAAAGCAACTTCTACTATTTAGCAACCTTTTCCACAGCATATTCTATCTAACCCATGATTTATGAGTAGGTGGCATTGGATCCCATGGTGCCCGGCCATGTCACCTCTTGGTTTCCTTATTTCCTAGGGACCTGATACTTTCTCAACAACTTCTCCTAAAGTTTGTAGTTGCTATCTTTATGCTAATATACATTACTCTGCTTTCATTCTTTGATGCTTTGATTTCCCCGATGAATGCTTTTTGTAATATTTCCTAATGTGTATACAAAGCTTTCTGTTTGTATGCAAATTTCAGAACGTTGAAGCGTTTCCCCTAAGTTTTATTTACTGCCACGGCACTCTGAGGAGCTTTAGAGCGTAGAGGATTCCTTCTTATAGGAGCTTTCACAACAAAGCTCCACCAGAAGCAGCTTACCACTTAACTAAATTTCCCAGTTTCTTAATGACCCTTTCCTCCTCTGGCTGTTTGGTCAGTAACAAATGGCAGAGACAAAGCAGGCAATTAGCTCCATCGCTTCCACTTTCCTGACAGGAAATAAAAAGTATGCATCATAACTGGATCAGCAGTTGTCAAAAATGACAGAATAAGCCGAGATCTGCCGAACTCTGCCATTTAATTCTTAGCAGAAGTGTTATTTTGTTTGAGTTACAACAGGCTGCCAAATCCATTTCCCCTAGTTTTTTCATTCTTGTGGCAGCAATGAGGTTTTGTTGTGTGAATGTGATTGTGACCAAAAAAAAGTAAGATTTCATCCCTTAATGTGGGCTCTATCCTGTGTTGGACTGGATTGGGTTTCTCCTCTGGGGCTGGATTGACTTTTCACCCCTCCCTCCAAGCTTCCTGGGCAGGGGGGTGGAGAATAGAGCCACCAGCTCCTTTCCTCAATGTCCACGGATATTCTTCTCAAAGACCACCCATTTTTAATAAAACCACCCACTGAAATGGCAGGAATGGCCCCCTCCCCCAGAATGGGGTGTCAGAGTACATGGGTAATTTCAGCGGCCTCTCTTTTTAATTCCCCCTCCACTCCTACTAAGTTTGGACAAGTCTAAACCCAGCCAGATATTTATATATCTGTTTCAATACTACAATACTTTCCAAAATACCATCCTCCAGTCTTGCAGAAAAAGCAGGCCACAGTGGCAATGGAAGTCATGGGCCCTTCGCTGGAGGGCAGGTTCTGCATGAGAATACTTTCCATGCCACCCTTGAGGCCACCCTCAAATAGTTTAGGTTGGGTATTGGTACCTTATTCTGCCCCCCCAATTACTAAAAGATGGATAGGAGCTGGATCAAGGAGCCAGAATTCAGAACAAACAGAAAGTTGCTTTCCCTAAAGATGAAAAATGACTGCTTAGGATGTTTCCCGCCTATGTTCATGGCTGGACTACAGGTGTGTGTGTGAGAGATTCCTAGAGAACTGCTACCTCCTGCCCTTTCAAGGAAACATCTGGGCAACCAGAGCCAATCTTTTATTTCCTAGTGTCAGAACAGACTAAATGGATTTTCACCAGGAAAAATAATTTATGGGGAATACTTTTGTTCATATCTGCATGTGTGTTTAGTACAACCACAACTAAAAATGATCATTTCCCCGAAGTACCTTGCCAAAAAAAAAAAGAATAAGAAGTTGGCTTGCAGTCAGTTGTCCCTGCAAAATTTCCCCTTATGCCAAGCATCAGCGTTGCTTGCTTCCTAGCTATCCTGCATTTAAGATTAGTTTTGGGAGATTTTTGTCAGTCAATGTGGAGGAGATTAGTCAAACCAGGGGGGAAGAGTCAAATAGGGAATTAGTCTGGAGTCCCTACATAGACACAAGAATCCCTTGAACCTTATCTAGTCTTACCCACAAGGCAAACTGTCAGTCTTCTCCTACGTATAGGCTTGAGCAGGAAACCAGCTAATTGAGCTCTGCAGGTGTGGATCTGCTTGTTTGTACCTGACTGCCAATAACTGAGCAGCCTTGCTTGGTAGGAGTGGAACTTAATCCTAGACTTCCCTTTGAAAACGAAGGATTATTCATTAAAATGCTAGGAAGATTTATTTGGGTACAGCTGCATATATGCTTGTTGAGGGTGGTATGGTGGAGAGAAGGTGCATTGCCAGATCCAGCTTAGCACACCGAGGTTGCCTTTTACTTCTGAACGTTAGCCATTTATGATTTCTCTGGTCTGTCAAGGACAACTGCCCATTCTGTAACTTCTCAGCCATCCTCAGATGAGTTCTCAATTTACCCTTTCATATAATCATTTCCTTGCAAGTTTTAAGTGTCCCTCTCATTGCTTGCTATACTGTGCGCATCTGTATTTATAGCTTACTAATTGAACATAAGATACCCGATAAAAAGGAGCATTTCCCCCCAAAAAGCTTGTAATGCAATAGCTGCTTCCCTGTTTAAGGAGCCAAGGTTCCTTTGCTGCAATACCATAATCACCTGAATGCTAAGACCTTTAAAATATCCTCGCAGTTACAATTAATTTCTAGCCGAAAGTTTTAAATTGAAGAAGTGTTAGTGGGCTGCAAGAGGAGAGGCTGCGTGCTGAAACAAATGAGTGGGTGTGTTGCTCTTTGCGCTTACTAGAAACGGAGTGCCGAAATGGAGGGGGGGGAGGGGGACAGCAGCCGCTGTCTGGAAAAAAAAGGGGGGGTGGGGGTGTTGCCGCCAAAGCACCATCTCACTTGGGTCCATTTCTCCTGTGCAGACAGGAGTCAGGACAGCACAGCGGTGGGGCTCTCGGACTCCAACTCCACCCAGGACACCTTTATGGAGCTTGCCAGCCTCCCGGACAGCAGCAACAAGAAGGCTTTTCCGGAAGGGAGGCCCTTGGCTTCCTGCTCGGACACCGCGGCACCCGGGAAAGAGAGCCTGGCACCCACAGAGGACAGGGGTAAGTTGGGCAAGGCTGGAGCCTTCGGGCCTTGTGCCAGGGAAAGAAAAAGCTCCTTCCTGGGCTTCTGCTGCTGGAAGCGAAAGGCAAAGCTGGGGCCGCCTCTCTGCTCTCCTCCTGTCTACCTACCAGGCAGTTGGGGGGATTTGGGTGACCTTGCCTGTTTCTGGCCCCTCCAGGAAAGCTGGAAGACCCCCTGGGCAGCCCTGACGCCTGCCGTGCTGCGGAGCAGAAGCCCCCTCCCCAGGGACCTTCCAAAGCCTCTGCTCCCCCGCTCCCCTCCCAGGGGGACCACAAGAGACCAGCCGAGCCCCTCTGCACCAGCCAGTTCGCCCAGGGCCTCCCCGCAGACCTGGAGGAGCAGCGCACTTTCCTGACCGAGCGCTGCACCGCCGCCTTCCACCTCTGCCTCAGCCGCTTCCCCCAGCACTACAAGAGCCTCTACCGCCTGGCCTGCCTCTATGCCTGCAGCCCCACCCATAAGGTAGTGGGGGGAGGGTGGGGGCCAAGGGTCTGCAAATGTAGGGGAGGTGGGGAACAAGGCAAGGACGATTCACCTTTCACAGAAGGCAGAAAACAGGCCAGGACCCTTGGACACATATAAGGACCCTTGGAGGGCTCTACCTGCAGAATAAACCTTGGTAACAGGAATGGGTTCAGCTCCAAAACAAGGTGGGGAGTCCACAAGGGCAGCTGTGCCAGCGGAGGGGAGCCAGCAAAGCCCCTCTGCCAACTTCCTGCTCCCTGGGACTCTGCTGGCCCGTGGTTATAACTTGAAGGGGGACTCTTAAGGACTAGAAACCTAGCCTCAAAGGGAAAGAATGATAAAAGATGCCCCGGAAGCCTGGCTTTTTTCCTTTCTGACATACATACCATACTTGGTTTGACAAAACATCATCCGTTTCTTTGAGGTGTCTTCCCAAGCCCGTGCAGAGTGGCTTTTTTCTGGAAAGGGTCCCGCATACCGGACTCCCTCACCCCTGTTGCCGGCCACCTTCATTAAAACCAACATTGGGCCAAAAAAGGGAGAACTGTGGACACCCTGCGTCCCTTTCTCCAGGCCACAAAAGAAGGCAGTGGCCAACCTGGCACACGTGGGGAGCACCTTAAAGAGAGGCCGGGCCCATCGCAGCATATGAATGTTGCCCCCTTTGCCCCCCTCGGCTCCCCTTCCAGGCAGGGGCATTCTGCACCCAATAACAGGGAGGGGAAGGTAGGGCAAGACGTTTGGTAGGGGAGGGATGAAAACCCGCCTTCCTCTTAGTAGCCAGAAGAGCCAGGAGTGAGAGTGTTGAGCGTCTCTGGGACACCTGATCACCTGGAGAAAGGCCTGGAGGGGATGGAGCGTCCTCCCAATGAGGAAGGAGATGTGTGGTTCTGAAGAGGCCCGGTTACCTCCCTCCGCCCCCCCCCCCCCCCCCCAGCCTTTCAGCTTTGCCTGAAAGTGGTACCTTGGGGAGCTTTGAAGGAGGGGAGGAGCGGGAAGAAGGGACGCGGCAGCTGTCACCGCTCTGGCTTCTCCTTCCTGCCAACCAATTTTGTTCTTTTCTTGCACTCTGTCCTATATAGAATCTGCCGTGGGCGCGTGATGTGCTGCTAGGCAGCAGTCTCCCCTGGCAGCAGCTGAGGCACATGCCAGCGCAGGGTCTCTTCTGTGAGAGGAACAAGACCAACTTCTTCAACGTAAGTGGACTGCCCGGGCTGCAAGCAGGGTGCTTTCTCTGGCTTTTCCCAGTTGCTTGTTTCCTTGGCCTCGGGCGAGGCTCTAGGCAGGCAGGCAGGCCAGGCCTTCTCTGCCCTGGAAGTTGCAGCTCCGGAGCCGCATGCAGCTCCGGAGCTGCTCCCTTCCTTTCCTTTGGGCAGCAGGAGGGAGGGCCTTGGGCAGCTCTGTCTGGCCTCTGACTTGGCCGAGCAGAACAACGTTGCTACAGGGACGAGGTTGCTTTGGTCAGAGCAGTACCTGTTCACCCCCTCACCACCCACCCACCCCCAGAACAAGGCATTCCATATCCCTCTACTGCAAAGGAACTAATGGCAGGAATTTGGAAGCATTTCAGCCCATGGAGAGCAAAGAAATATTTATAAAGTTGATGAGGATGCTGTCCAAGTCATGGCCTTGAGAGCAGTTGATGTGAATGTGAAGTCCAGTTCCTGAAAATGCCATTGTGGGTGGAGTCACGCTAGTTTGTGGCACAGGAGCTGCGTTGCCACTTTTATACCCTTTGGGGTTCAAACCCTCTCATGGACTTTTACCCTTTAGATGAACTATAGACAGGATGTTAGCCCCAGCAGCTCTCCAGGCCCTGGTGCGGAGAGGTTACAGGAAGGGAATCGAGAGTCCATCTTCCCGCTCAGCTCTCTGTGATATAAAGGTTTCTCCCATGTGAGAAAGGGAGCCACCACTCCCACAGAGGCTTATGCCTTTCAGTCGCATGGAAGGGCAGCTGCAGATGCTCCTGAAAATGCCAGAAACGTGGGAGCTTTCTTGCTTTACTGTTTCAATTGGCCCTGGTTCCAAAAAGCGAGAATGGAGCATATGGAGGATGGTTTCCAGGGAAAAAAATAATATATGGAAATCCGTAGTTGTGTTTCTACGAACCACGTGATAGAACACCAGAAAGCCCCACAGGAGCACACACACACACACACCCTGCCCATCTCTTCCCTTTGGATAGGATCCATTAATTTTTTTTCTCTGCCCTCTCTTCTTTGGCGTGGAAAGGAATGGAATCAGAGTTGGAAGGGACTTGGAGGTCTTCTAGTCCAACCCCTGTTGAGGCAGGAAACCCTATACTGTTTCAGACCAATGGTTGCCCAGTCTCTTCCTAAAACTTCTGGAGACGAGCTGTTCCACTGATTAATTGTTCTTACTGTCAGGAAATTTCTCCTTAGTTCTGTGTTGGTTCTCTCCTTGATTAGTCTTCAGGTGCTTTGGAGAATAGCTTGACTCCGTCTTCTTCATGCTAGATATTTAGATATTGGAAGACTGTTGTCATGTCAACCCCAGTCCTTCTTTTCATTAAACTAGACATACCCAATTCCAGCAACCGTTCTTTATATGTTTTAGCCTCCAATCCCCAAGTCATCTTTGTTGCTGTTCTCTACATTCTTTTCTTAGAGCCTCAATTTGTTTTTTTTTTTACATTGTGGCAACCAAAACGACGCAGTATTCCAAGGGTGGCCTTACCAAGGCTTTATAAACCAGTACTAACACTTCACTTGATCTCGATTCTATCCCTCTGTTTAATGCAACTTAGGATTGCATTGGCTTTTTGGGCAGCTGCAGCACACTGATGGCTCATATTTAAGTGATTGTCCACTAGGACTCCAAGATCCCTCTCACAGTTAATACTATTGAGTGAGGTGCCACATACACTGTACCTGGGCATTTGGTTTTTCTGGCCTAAAAGTGGAACCTTCCTTTTTCCCCCCATTGAATTTCATTTTGTTAGACAGCGCCCAATCTTCAAATCTGTCAAGATCCTTTTGTATCTTAAGCCTGTCTTCTGCGGTGTTGGCTATTCCTGCTAGCTTGGTGTTGTTTGCAAATTTGACGAGTTCCCCATCTAGCCCACGTTGTTTGGTTGGTCAGCCGGTTATGAATCTATCTAGTGGTGATGCTATCTAACCCACATTTTTTCTATCTCATCAAGTAGTACGTTGTGGTTTTCTCTATCAAATGCCTTACTGAAGTCCAAGTAAATTATATCCACAGTATTCCTCTGGTCCACTAATTTTGTCACTGTCAAATAATTCAGTAAGATTTGTCTGGCCTGATCTGTTTTTGTCAAAACCCGTATGTTGGCTTTTAGTGATGTTGATTGCGTTTGCCTCTAAGTGTTCACCCTTGCTTGCTTATCTTTTCCAGAATCTTCCTAGGGTATTGAGGTAGTCAGGCACTGCCTTCTTCTGCCTCCCACTCAAGAGGTGGCCTCGGGGCACAAGTGCGAACTTCAGAAGAAAGGGCCTTTGATAGCTTTAGTCCAACAGCTGGACTTCTTTCTAAAGGCTGAGCCGGAGCCCCCTGGTCAGTCCAGAACTAGCAGAACTAGCAGGCCAAAGTAGTGTGGGGTCTTCGTCTGCCTGTCTAATGCCACCTGGAGGTCTTTCTGGGCTGCTCAAGGTCCCCTCCTGGACCGTGCCTAGGAGGGACAGAGGCGAGGTCAGCAAAGGTGGGAAGGGGGAACCACGGGGTCCAAGAGCGCAGAGTCTTGCTTGGGTTGAAGTGGAGCCTCTTGCACCCAGGCAGCCCACCCACAGCTCCTGCAGCTTCAGGGCACTCAGGTGCTGAGACGGTGAGTTGGATGAGTTCACCCAGCCGCTTCGCCTGCGTATGAAACGGGAGTGGAAAGAGGCCTGAGGCCTGCAGCCGCTGGCAAAGGAGGCGGCAGCGTTCTGGCCCATCAGCAGGGAGGAGGGGAACCAGCACAAGGGTTCAACTCCCAGAGCCGGTCCAGAAGGGATACCATGATTGATGGTACTGAAAGCTGCTAAGGGGGGAGGCACCACCCTCTGCCACTCCCTCCGGAGGTCAGCCAAGGGTCTCGACTCCGGCCACCCTCTCTCTACCGCCTTCCCCAAAAAGGGAAGGCTGGAAATGGGATGAAAATTGTCCAGAAGGATGGGGCCTAGGGTCTCCCTAAATAGCCAGTGGGACCAGCCCTCCCTTAAACTCAAGCGCAGGCCTTGACCAGCCCCAAAGGGCCCAGGCCGCTTCCTCAGGATAGGGTAGCTGCTTCCCAGTCTGGGAAAGGGAGTTGGCTTTGTTTGGGAGCAGCAACTTAAGCCCTGCAGTTGCCCGGTGAGAAGGGGGGTGAATCGTGATCGCCTGGCTCTCCCCCCCTGTCCAAATGAAGGGAGGGCACAACCAGCGCTTGGGCCCAAGATGGGCAATGTTTCCCCCTCCCCCATCTGCTGCTCGGACAGGAGTGTCCAGACCAGTTGGAGCCCCCCTAGCCCCCCCCCCCCCAGCAGA